TGTTGTCCTCTAGTCCTTCTTTATGGGAACTAATGAAGAACTTTTCTGTATGCACCCTCTCCACCCCACTCATGCTTTTATAGACCTCTATCCTATCCCCCCCTCAGTCTCCTCTTTTCTAAACTGAAAAGTCCCAATCTCTTTAGCCTCTCTTCATATGGGACCTGTTCCAAACCTCTTATCATTGTAGTTGCCCTCCCCTCTCCCACCCTCTCTCTTCCCCTCTCCCACCTCCTTTTCCCAGTCTCCCCCAGTTTTGTTCAATAAAGAGAGATTCTATTTTTGACCACACGTTTTCTTTATTTTGTACATCAGGAAGTGGGCTAGGGAAGGGTAAGTGGAAGAAGGTGAGGGAGGAATGGGGTACGAGCCCCCAATGGGGAAGACTGGGCTGGCTCTGCGGGCTTCTGGGGGTGGAAGCTCTCCTGCAGCCCCCCAACTGCCCCCTCTTCCCAGATGGCAGCCTGCGGCAAGTGCAGCCGGTCTGATGGCCGAGTGCTGTGATGTGCCCAGTGTGGGCCCTCAGGGCACTCCAAGCCAGGACTGCTTTGCAAGCTGGGCACCCCTGAGAACTGTCTGTCCGGGGTGGGGTTTGGGTCCCTTTAAGCGCAGCCCTCGGCTAGCCTGAGACAGCAGCTCCACAGTCCTCATCTGATGCCCTGCCGGCACTGCTTCCGGCCATCCTTAACCCCGGTTCAGGGTCCACTTAATGTGGACATGCTAGTTCGAATTCTAATTCAAACTAGTTTTTAGTTCTAGATGCGTTAGTTCGAATTAGCTTAGTTCGAATTAACTAATTTGAACGAAGTTAGTTCGAATTAGCGCTGTAGTGTAGACATACCCTGTGATTTAATTATTAACCCATTTATCTTATTAATCAGGATGCTTTTACTGTGTTGCTAATCAATTGCATTTGATAAAGTAATATTTATATTTTGATTTGATAATACTTTTATATATAAACTCAATATTTCCCTAGTTTAAATATAAATATATAGTATTATAGTAAATCCAAAAATGAATTCACACTGTGTCTTTTGGGTCACTCCTGAACCACTGAGGTTTGAGTATCACTGCTTTAAAATCACAAATCTGTGTTTGGACTAATTGCAACTTGTAACCACAGTGTTTTACATGAGCGTTTCCTGGTATCTTCTGATTAAATTCTCCATTAGGCTCTTTAAGGCTGTCTTTTTCTGAATCTGTGAAGTAAAAAGCTTTGTTAAAATTTGCATTTTTAGAACATGGGATTTTGAAGGAGTAAAAGTGTAAATATATAAAGCAGAAATATATTTTACAACTTACATTACTTCATTCTGTTGTAATATCTAGCAATATTGTTACCTTTTCGGTGATTTAAAACTATTTTTCTTTCTCCTCCTTCCCCACAGGAGAAAAGAGTGCATCACTTTAGAAGAAGTAGGGCAGTGCTTAAAAGTGTTTAACCAATGACACTGAAGATTTAAAGTGCCTGTATTCCATTGTTTTGGGATGTTATTGAAAATTAATGTTCAGTATAGCAAGGTGTGCTGTACAATTATGTAATCTTAAGGAAAAAGTTACTTCAAGTTGAAGTTGTTCACATTTGTTTATCTGTTCCTAGATCATTTTGTTTCTAGCATTTTAAGATTATGATAGACTAGAAAGTTTCAGTGTTACATTATTTGGGTTTTATGTATGCCCTTTCACTTGATGCTAGAATATGTTAAAAGATTTTTAAGGAGTTTGCATGAAAAAATTACTCTTGATTTAATTTGTAAATGTGTGAATTTTCTTCTGGGCTTTAAGGTACAGTTTGTATGTTGCACTTGTTTTCTCTAAAACACATCTTAAATGCCTAACAAGTTTAGCTCATAATTCGAAAGTTGAACTAGAAATTTGCCCAAGAGGTAGTTTTTAAACTGCGTTTCTTAATCAGTGGAACAGAAGACATCAAGTTGTAACTCAGTTGAAGCCCTTCAAGTCTGTACCTAGTGTTATAGTGCTGGTTCTCTACAAATAATCCAATCAATGGGGATTACATTTATTAGTTACAATTTATGCACCTGAAGTCTGAGTATCACTATCAGTTTGATTGGTAAAAGTAATTAAGAGAATTCTAAAATTCCGAAATCTAATTTAAAGAAAAACCCAAGAACAGAAAAAGCTACATTAACTAGTCAGTGGGTTACACTTTTTTTAGTGAGCAAATTTTAGCAATACCTGTATCTTAAAATTGTGGGAAAACATTGACATTGGAATAACCTTATGTTATATCACACAAAATGTTAATCAAAGGATTTTGTAAGGAAATGTGTTTTATAATAATTATGTAGATTTTAGAGTTTTCATATTTGAAAAAAAAAACAATAAATTTTTTTGTTGGAGTTGGCTTCCTAATGGAGATGCTAATTACAGTATTGAAGCTATTGACATAGGTGTTAAATTTTGCCTTTCTAGATGTTGCTGTATTCTCCTAGCAACTATTTGTTGTAGTACTTGTGCTATAGTCAACATTACACTCAGTTGGTAATAACTGGATGTTGCTTAACAAATGTAGCTAAAAACATCCGCTACAGATCAAGATAAAGAGTTTGTATAGTGAATTCATTTGAGACTGTAGTATAGTACTTGCTTTTTGAGAAGGGGTGGGCAATAAAAAACGATGGCCTACTTCCTGCTACCCTCATTGGCTGCAAACAGTGATCCACAGCCAACAAGAACTGTGATCGCCCGATAGCTGCAGAGGTACAGATAATTATAGAGTTGGGGGCCCATCGGGGACTAACCCTGTGGACCAGAGCTGGCTCATGGGCTGGAATTTGTCCACCCCTGTTTTAGACCAGAGTTGAGCTTCAGAGAAGGTGCCCTAATCCTGTAAAAAGGGACTAAGGTCCACAAAGTGAGCAAATTCTAAAATTATACTGGCTCCTAAAAGTAAATCCTATCCAGTGTTGCTCAGGTTTATATGAACCCAAAACTATTGTAATTTCTATTTCCCCTTCTCCAGATGGTTTCAGAAGTAAATTGATGGGAACACAGTTCTTCCCTTTTATAATGATTGCTACAACTGTCAGTGCTAGTACCATTCAACAAGTTCATTTTGCATCTACAGTACAGATAAAAATTAACAGTAGTGTACAACAATCCAGATATAGTTACCCAAAGTCTGAGATGGTGTGAAACAATCAGCAGGCAGGCTTTTGATAGCCAGCCTTCCTCCCGTCCATTTGGGATGTCAGCCTCCAAGCTAGTAGAAAAAACATTTCCAATTTGAACACTGTGACTTACCTTTCGATAGGTTGCTTAAAACAAAGCGCATAACCCATAGTAACCTCTTACAAATTAACTGTTTTCCTAATATCAAGGAAACAACCCCTGGTTATAACAGCCACAAAAAGTCAACCAGGAACACTTAGATCCATGGTTAGCTATCCGCACTTCCATCTATTCTCATTATTCTTCCAGGTCTATTTTTATCAGTATACTGCAGCTACACATATGCATAATGGAGAGTTGCTATTCCTGACTGTTGTGTTCTCATTTCTAGTTAGGGATGCCTAAGTGCAATGTTCCTTCTAATCTCTTCCATCCATGTGCTGATTTTTTTTCCATGCATGTGCGAAATACGTGTTTAATGTGCACCATGGCATGTGCACATTTGCACAATCAGTAGAAACAACAAATCTAGCTGTGTGCGCTCTGCTACTCAACTGGGCAGCGTTTGAATCTCCTGAGCTGCCACACAAGTACACAACTTTAAAGGAACATCGTCTGAGAGAACAAAATGGATGCAATTTTGCCAAGTCAGTTTCTTTCATAAAGCCAGCAGTCAGTTGTCATAGCCCAGCATGAAGTGGAGAGGTAACTTATGTTCTTCAAGACATGTTGCTCATGTCCATTCCATATAGGTGTGTACGCGTGCTGTGTGCATGCATTGTTGGAAGATTTTTCCTGTAGCAGTACCCATTTGGCCAGCAGGGGAGCCCCCTGGAGTGACACCGGAATATACCCCTGCTGGCCCTGCACCCCCTCAGTTCTTTTTTTATTGCTCCTGAGGTGAGTTGCAACATGCTCTTGCTCTGCAAGTGCCTCTTTAGCAGTTCTTCTCATTGTTTTAGTAGTTAAACAGTTCTCAGTTCATTATTCTTATCTAAGTTTTTATTAGCTGTTAAGTGTTGTTCTTAGTTTTAAGTGCTCAGGCGCAGGGCTCACGTCACAACCCCAGTGCACCTGGCGGGGCGGGCCCGGGCCCCGGCCCCACGGCTTCAAGCCTTGTGAGAAGTGTCAGAAGCCTATGCCCTGCAGCACAGCTTGCCTTAAGTGCCTGGGAGAGGCCCACTTCTTCGAGGCCTGGAAGATCTGCAAAGGCCTTCTAGCCGCGTACCAAGTGTGAAAGAGCATCTCGCTTGAAAATTATCCGATCCGGTACTGGCAACCCAGAGCGCACCGGCGTTGATGCACGAAGCATCTAGCCATTCTAGTGTCTTCCCAGCACCGCTCAGGCCTCGGCACTGGTTGCAGTCCCTGGTGCCTAAGAAGAAGAGAAGACCTTTTAGGGACAGTTCTCCTTCAAAGCATGTGCCCTCCGTGTGCTCTCAAGTGGAGCATGTGGCACCAATGGGCACGGCACCAGGACCTCCGCAGTCAGATTGGCACTGCTCGAGTCCGTACCATGAGGCCAGCCCAGCAGAGGGCTTTCTATAGCCCTCCACTCTGGATACCTTTGAGGCAGCAAGAGAGCTAATTGAGCTGACCTCTTCCCCTACCTCGGCACAAGACCCAGCCAAGGAGCAAGGATCTAGATGGCACTGCCCCACAGCCTCAGCACTCTGGCACAGGATGCTAGCGGGTCCCATCATCCTGCCCTGGTGCCAATAACCTCGACCCCAGTCCCGGGCACACCATTGACTCCACCCTCAACACTGGCTGTAGTCCCCACCCCTTCTCATGCACTGACCCTGGCACCGACACCAGCATCAGCACCGATATAGGGGCATAGGGTGGCACTGGCTGCAGCACTGGATCCTGCAGCCACTGGCCCTTTTCCTTTGGGCACATTAGTATTGTTGCCAGCCATCCCTCCGTTTAATACATTTAAAAAGTAGTAGTACAGCGGGGAGACTTTATGCAAGCCGAGACAGCTGATTCTCAGCTCACGCTGCACTGCAGCCTTTTTACATTTAAGACTGGTGCGCAGCGGGGGGACCTGGTGCAAGCCGGGAATCAGTTGACCCAGCTCGCATTGAATCCCCCCTGCTGTGCTTTAGCCTTGTATTAAGAGCCTGCTGACTCTTAAAGGCTGTTCACAGTAGTGATGGACGGCAGAATAAGGAACAGTGGTCTCAAGTTGTGGTGGGAGAGGTCCAGGTTGGATATTAAGAAAAACTATTTCACTAGGAGGGTGGTGAAGCGCTGGAATGGGTTACCTAGGGAAGTAGTGGAGTCTCCATCCCTAGAGGTGTTTAAGTCTCGGCTTGACAAAGCCCTGGCTGGGTTGACTTAATTGGGATTGGTACTGCCTGGGGAAGGGGGCTGGACTTGATGACCTCCTGAGGTCTCTTGCAGCTCTATGGTTCTATGATTCTATGAAAAGGCAGAGCCGCAGTAGGGTTAGCTCCCAGGGCCAGGAGCTAATCCTGCTGCAGCTCCCCTGCTTATCGACTAGTCGATAGAAAATCCATTGACTAGTTGATTAAGCTAAATTTAACATCCCTGTGCATAAAACTGACTTTCCTCTTTCAAAAGTTCTGCAACTACTGCTTATCATCCCAGACTTGCATGGCAGTGTGATCTCACCTCTTAGTGCTTCTTTCCCAAGCCCAAAAGCTACATTCCACTAAGGTCAGCACCTCCATGAATGCCATAAGCAATCTCATGTAGTATGTACAATGTATAGAAAGCTCAGTGTCTGACTCCTCATTGTCACTTTGCAGCTTAAGGAATAACTAAACTGCAATTCGTGACATGTTAGTCTAATCAGCAGTTTCTTCAACACTTCATGATCCATTCCCACAGACTGAGGAGGCAAAGTGCATAGCACAAAAGCCATCACATGCAAACAGCAGTACAAGAGTTACTGGGATGCAAAGCGCTGCACCCTAGGGCATTGGGACACAGCCCAAGATTCCCCACAACTGACCTGCCACCTTCCCACAAGCTTCAGCAACAGAAGAGAAAGACAGGTGCCCAGAGTGGGCTGCTCCTTATGCCACTGCAAGTGTTGCTAGTGTGGTCATGCTGCTGTGCTGGCAGCTGACAGTGTGGACACACAACAGGAGTTTCACTGCTGCGATCTGTGAGCAGCATTATAGCTGACAACGCTTTACATCTTCCCATGTACACAAAGCCGCTATCTTAATATTACTCTACACTTTGATTTTTTTTGTATAGTGCTAACTTTTCAGTGTAGTCCATACTATATGTATTAAAAATGGATAGATCTGAAAGTAATTAATTGTAAATGGATTTCTATATGGGAGTGTTTCTTGTGTGTTCTCTTAGGGTATGTCTACACTATGGCGTAAGATTGAATTTAGATACACAACTTCAGCTATGTTAATTGCGTAGCTGAAGTCTTAAGTACCTCAACTCGACTTTTGGCGCTGTCCACACTGCAGGAAGTTAAAGGAAAAGTGTTCTCCCTTCGATTTCCCTTACTGCTCATGGAAACAGGACTATCAGCATCGACCAGAGTGTCCCTCAGTTCAAATGAGCATGTCTTCACTGGACCTGCTGATTCAAACTCTGGAAGATCAACAATCTTCTCTTTAGTGTAGACCTACCCGTAGCTATCTGCTCTTGGTCCTGTGCTATTTACTATCTCATCCAAAATCTGAAAGAAGCAATCATTGCTATTACAATTTTTCACATGCAAATTTTAGTGATAATCAATAAAGACAGGTCAGCTATTAATGATCCAGAGTACCCTTTGGTCTGGAGGTTCTTAATTGAATATATGCAGTCCTACACTTGGATGCAAGATGACATACAATATGGAAGATACCATTAAAAAACAACAAATGGTCTGTTAGTCTAAAGTGCTAACAAACCATGTAGATGGTATCATGAGCTTTTGTGGGCACAGCCCACTTCTGCAGATGACCGGAGTTTGGAAGATAGCATCCTTGAGTAAAGTAGCAATGAAAAT